TACCTCTAACTCTTGGGCTCAAGCAATTCTCTTGCCTCAGCCTTCCAAGTAGCAGGGACTACCGGAGTCTGCCACAATGTCTGGCTATTTTTTTAGAGACTGGGCTCTCGCTGGCTCAGGCTGGTCTCGAACCCATGAGATCAGTCAATCCACCCACCTTAGCCTCCTAAGTGCTAAGATTATAGGCATGAGTCACCTCGCCTGACCTATTTATGAACTTCTAAACCTTCTCCTCTTTTGTACATTTCTTATTGCCCTATCTCATCTGACCACCTTGGCTAGTACCTACCAACACAATGTAAAATAATGTAAAACAATAACCAACCACTCAAAGTAGACCTATTCATTTTATGATCCAACTTAGGTAGCCTGGGAGAAATTAAACGCTGAAAAGTTTAAAGGCTTGAATCTTGCCTTCTTACAAAGTATAAAGCAACTTCTAGGATGCTATCAATAAAAAGGTGGAAATTCCCTTAAGAAACCAAGAGGTAGGATTTCCTTCTGAAGGCAGGATAAAAACTAAGATGATAACACCCAAAGTACCCGGTAACAGTGCACACTTGGTACTAGGCGCTAGGCTGAGCCTATATCCTCATCTCTATCTGAACCCAAGTGGAAATCTCTAACATTCCTTCCTTAAGCCGAAGTAGTTTTAAGCCCTGTAGTTTTCTTTATCGTGCAATGTCTCTCAGGTTTGGTTTCGGTGTGATAGTAGCTTCTTAAAAAGAATCTGGATTTTTATCTCAGTTTAAATGGCACTGGAATTATCTGCCCTTTAAATATTTGATGGATGTTCTCTGTAAAACCATCTGAACGTGCTCTATGGGGCGGTAACTCTCAGACAACTTTATTTTTTTCTGTGAAAAAATAAACCGTTTAAATTTTCTACCTCTTCTGAGGTCAGTCTGGATAAATTAAATTTTCCTAAAAATTATCATTTTCACCCAAGTTTTAAAATTTGTTTCCAAAAAGTTGAGCAAATAGTCTCCAATGGTTCTTTAAATGTTATGTCTCCGTCCCTTTCTCAGTTCTTACTTGTGTCTGTACTTTCTTGCTTTTTTTTTGATTAGACTAACCATCTATAAATTTTATTGCTGCAGTTTTTTTTAATAAAGAGCCACCTTTTGGGTTACGTGTAATACACTGTTCTACTATTTTTCTATTTATATTTAAAATTCTTAGAAGACGATACCTTCAGATGGGGTTCTACCTGTTTCTACCCCCTAAAAAAGTATTACAACAAAAAAATACAGTGAATACTATCTAAGTATCTAATACTATATCTAAGGACATAAAAGAAAAACAGCAGAGATTGAATTAGACTTGTCAAAGTTGTTTTAAATATCTCCAGGCTCGGCGCCTATGGCTCAACCGGCTAAGGCGCCAGCCACGTACACCTAAGGTGGCGGGTTCTAATCCCCAGCCCTGACCCGCCAAACGACGGCTGAAACCAAAAAAAATAGCCGGGCATTGTGGCGGGCGCCTGTGGTCCCAGCTACTTGGGAGGCGGAGGCAGGAGACTCGCTTGAGCCCAGGAGTTGGAGGTTGCTGTGAGCTGTAATGCCACGGCACTCTACCCAGGGGGACAGCTTGAGGCTCTGTCTCAAAAAAAAAAAAAATATCTCCAAACCCCAAACCACCTGATCCCATTTAAACTTTGTAGAAAGAGTCAATCCGAAACATAGATCAGCAATGTTTCCAATACACAAATAAAAGGGTTCCATATAAAATAAAAGCTGGGCTTTTACAATTATTAATTCACTGGAAATAAGATTTCAGATCTTACTATAAGGAACTCACATATTAACAGCACAGCAGGCCCTCTGAGGTTTTAATTATAAGCCTTCCACCTCCAGCCTGTCTCTTAGCAATTGTTTACCAGTGCAGTTCAACATATATGAATTCCCCTTCTCCCCAGTCCTGGTTCTCAGAGAATTGCTTCGTAGTCAGGCACTGATGTAGAATGACATGACCTCCACAGAGAAGGCCAGCTATGTCACTGTGAGTCCTATAAGCCAGCCAGCGCTACCCAGAAGCCACCCTCACAGCAACAGAGCAGGCTATAACTGAGGCAGTCCACGGCACTGTCAGTTTTTATCAATCGCCAAAGTAGGCCTACTAGTGTTTTGATCCATTTTAGGTAGGCTGGGAGAAATTAAGCATTTTAAAAGTTTGAAAGTTTAACTCTTCTCTTCTTGCAAAATGGAAGTCTATTACTAGGCCACAGTTTATAAAAGTGTGAGATTTCCCTTAAGAATACAAAACCAGGCTCGGCGCCTGTGGCTCAAGTGGCTAAGGCGCCAGCCACATACACCTAAGGTGGTGGGTTCGAATCCCCAGCCTAGCCCACCGAACAACAATGATGGCTGCAACCAAAAAATGGTCGGGCGTTGTGGCGGGCGCCTGTGGTCCCAGCTACTTGGGAGGCGGAGGCAGGAGACTCGCTTGAGCCCAGGAGTTGGAGGTTGCTGTGAGCTGTAATGCCACGGCACTCTACCCAGGGGGACAGCTTGAGGCTCTGCCTCAAAAAAAAAAAAAAGAATACAAAACCAGTAGGAGAAAAGCTAAAATGATAACCCTTAGTACTCACAGTATTTAGTAATAACGCACACGTGATGCTAGCTCAAGCAAAAGGCCCTATCTTCTAAAGTCTAAAGGTGACATTTGTCACAGAACTTTTAAGAGTCAGTAAGCAAATATCATAACAAACAAAGACAGAGGTAATATAGAGACCTGAAGAGCTATGAAACAGTAGTATTGAAACTGTAAGTTTCAAGTTTACAGCTACCAAAACCCACAGAAGAGAAAACACGGCCCATTTCTGGGGCAAATCTGAACTTTCAGCAACCTGTCAAGACAGAAATACTCCCTGGAGTCGAGACTGAAACAGCCACAATCTAAAATTTAAATACTTTGGGTGAAAAAAGTTACAACAGATGAACAATAAGGACGTGTATTGCAGGCTTGGCCCTACACCAAAGCAAAAAAGCAGTTTACTGGCCCAAATACAGAGATGTGTCGGTGTATGAAAAACACAGCTCTATGAGAAGACAGAAGAGCCTGGAAAGGAACCAGGTCCTGAGGTTTTGCCGTTAAAATAATCATGTGGATATGAAAAAGAAATTGTTGGTTCGTTTCTGAAATGTTAATCTTTTACCAAAAATATCATTTATATCCTGGGAAGTCGGTTCAAAGACTTTGCTTAAGATGAAGCCCAACTAAATTTTAGTCAATCTTGATCTTGAACCAGTTTGGAAATAGGATCAAGAGTTTTTGGGTTGTTTTTTGGTGTATGGAAGGGCGTATAGAAGACATGGTAGTTTGTGCAAAGGAATTACATATAGTACAAAACAAGGAAGTTCAGCATTTAGAAAGCACTGCTTCTAAATGTCCATTTACAGATACCAGATTGTGAAAGAGAACTTTTAAGATAAATGTATATCTTTTGACAACCTGGTTATACTCTGGCTATACATATTACACATTTTCAAAGATACTCTGGGCAGTGCCTGTGGCTCAGTGAGTGGGGTGCTGGCCCCATATACCGAGGGTGGTAGATTTGAACCCAGCCCCGGTAAAACTGCAACAACAACAAAAAGTAAATAAATAAAAGTCTCTAAAAAAAAATAACCAAGGATAATCTGGACCTTTTTTCAAAACTCAATCTCTGAATTTGGGTCAAAAATAAATTTCTAGAGGGTGGTGCCTGTGGCTCAAAGGAGCAGGGCACCGGCCCCATATGCAGGAGGTGGTGGGTTCAAATCCAGCCCAGGCCAAAAACAAAAACAAAAAAATATAAACTTCTAAGGCTGGAGATGAGTTGGAGGTGAAATGATGGAGAACAGCAGGGACAGAAACTATTAACTAGATAAGAAACAAGTCACATGGTTTCCAAATTACCTCTAGTCAAAAAACCTCTACCTTCTCTACTCCCATACCAAGTGTTCTGATATGAAAAACCCTCCGTATACAATACTTTAAGGAAAAAAAAAACAGAATTCTTAGGAAATTTTAAAATGATGAATTTCGATAGTACTGAGAAAGATTAAACAACACTTAATAGTCCAACAGCTCTGAACAGTGGTTTTAAAACTATAGCCCACATCAAAATCACCAGGAAAGCTTGCTTTAAAGACAGATTGCTGGGCTCCACCCCCAGAGTCTCCGACTCAGTAGTCTGGGGTGAGGGCATCCCCAGGTGCTGATGCTGGGAGTAGGGGCAGATGAGTGCTACGCTCAAACCTATGGTCCTCCTACTGGTGGCCCCGTGCTGTCTGCGACAAAACTTGAGAGTAAAACTTTTTAACAGTCTAACATTAAGAGGCATCCAAGTACGTGACCATTTTTTTAGTAGCCCACTTTTATTGTATTTTCCCAAAGTACCGTCTAAGACTAAAAAGTTTTGGGAGTTTGAGAAGCACTGATTTAAAAGGGCACCTCTAACGACTGACCACGCAGACAGCAGCCCTGGCGAGGCGGGGACAGCGGGCAGTCTGGGGGACAGCTGGAGGCTGCGGGTGATTCTTGCAGCCACAAAACTGGCCTGAGGCGCAATTGCAAAACTGAGGTTTTCCGGGTTCGGTCTCATTCCGGAACTTCCTGGGACAAGCCCCACGGCACTACCGCTGCAGGTGGCGGGAGCCAGGCAGACGGGAGAGGGGGACACACGCGCGACCAAGGACGGACAGCCAGACCGCGCCTTCCAAGCTCAAAACTCAGGCCACGGGTGAGCTACACCCACCGGCGAGATTCCTTCAACACGCTCAGTTTTGTTTTAGGAATTGAGAAATTAAACAAAGAAAGGGGACGCCAGTCCCATCCCCAGCCCGCGGATACCCCGGCCCCTGGCGCCTGCGCACACCGCAGGCCTCCGACCCGCCCCTGGCCAGCCGGACGCTTCCTTCCGGGCAAGCGGGGAAGGCGCGGCCGCTGTGGCTGACACGCATGCGCACTGACGGCGCTCGCACCCTCCGCGCGGCCCCCGCGCGCCCCGTCCTTACCCACTACCGAGATCGGCTCCTCCCGCCCCGGCAGGGCCTCCTCGGGGCTGACGATCCTTGAGGCCGAGTCTCCCATCCTCGAGACGAGAAGGAAGCCGTGTAGGAGCTGGCGGGCCCTCCTGGTGGCCAAGAGCATGTGCCGGCGCCGGCCGAGGGGCGTCCGGGGGTGGGGCGGGAAGGCGCGGCCGCGAGCGGAGCCGGCGCCTGCGGAGTCCGGGCCGAGCCGAGCGGGCGCTGCTGGCGGGCTCCGGCCTCCCGGAACCGAGGTTGCCCAAGGCTGGGGCCTGCGGGCTGTCGCCGAGGGCGTGTCCTGTCCCCGTGGGGGTGCGCGGACGAGCGTGGCTCCCGGGGACTTCAGCCTCTCCACACCGGACAAAGTTCTCCCGGCGGGAGCAAGCGCGCTAATTGCCGTGTCAAATACGTGAAGCGGCAGAGGCCAAAAACATGGTGCCGAGCCCGTGGTGCAGTGTTTGAGCTTAAAGTTCGTCCCGCTTCGCCACCTCCTTAGCGGTGGTTCAGTACGCCCAGGAAAACACAAGAGGACCTGCTCTGAGCACAGCTAGGAGATGTATGTCACTTTCCATTGGAGCCTTTATAATGACAAACATCAAAAGGATTCCTTCCTATTGATTCAAAGTGAAAACTAAGCACAGGTCTCAGCATGGAATGGGGAAGATGTGTTCACTTTCACGTTATGTGTATACATATACAAACACAAATACTGCATATTTTAAACCCATTTTGCAGGAGGGAAAATAAGGGAGCGAGGCACTAATATCACCGTTAACGTAGCGCAGGTGCCCTTGGATCATTCTTGTTTCTCAAATTCTGAGATAACCTATGTTCCTGTGACGAATTTTCAAACGAAATGTGCGGTGATTGGAGCCGGATGAGTGACTTAGAAGTTAATATACGTGAGATTTGGGTTTTACAAGAATGTCCCAAAATAAGTGGATAGCCTCAGAAGAGGGAAGGAACAACCTGTGTTCCTTATTTGGCAAAATAGAAATCTAACAATATTGTGCTCGTTTCCAACAAAACATTTGGCCAAATTCTGCTGCCCCTTGAAACCCCCCGAATGTGGGAATCATGGAGGTGTGCACAGGATGGCACCGGAGATTCCATCAGCATGAGCCCGTTTCCTCCCTCACCCACCCGTTACTACCTCTTGTTTCTGTACAAATCAGCCTTCAACAAGTAGCTTTTGCTCTTTTTCCTACAAGCTCCATCTCTTTGTCCCATCCTAGCTTTCCTACACCACAGTGTCCCCAGCCACCTCACTGCAGGGAGACTAGATAAAGGACGTGACTTGAGGAATGAGAGGGAAGGCCCTGTGTGTACAGCCTTCCTCCCACCCTGAGATAAACCTAGGGATGGATGCTTAAAAACATCCACATGGATGGGGAGATTCTGAGGACAGAGGACAGCAGAAAGAGGTGTCTCCACGTCTAATCTCCAAGATAACAGTAAATTATATGCATTGCTGATTAAATTAGCCTAATGAGTTACCGAATGCTTTCTGTAAACTTAGAAACATCAGTCCCAAGTTATTTAATCAGTTAATTTTCTTTCATAAAACCATCTATGTGCCAGAGAAAAGAAAAAAGAAAAGGTGTTTTTTTTTTTTTTCCCTTCTGGATAGGTGCCCAGTAATGGAATTGCAGGATCAAACCGGAGGTCTAGGTTGAGTTCTTTAAGGTTTCTCCATACTTCCTTCTAAAATGGTTGTATTAGTTTGCAGTCCCACGAGCAGTGTAAAAGTGTTCCTTTCTCTCCACATCCGCGACAGCATCTGCAGTTTTGAGACTTCGTAATATGGGGTTAGATGGTATCTCAGGGTGGTTTTAATTTGCAGTTCTCTAATAATTAGGAATGATGAGAGCATTTTTCATGTGTTTGCTAGCCATTTGTCTGTCTTCTTTAGAGAAGGTTCTGTTCATCTCTCTTCCCCATTGATGTATGGGATTGTACTAGACTATTTATCTCAGCTCAATTTACAATCACTAAAATGTGGAAACAGTCTAAATGCCCCTCAACCCAGGAATGGATTGGCAAGCTGTGGTATATGTATACCATGGAATACCATTCAGCCATTAAAAAATGGAGATTTTGCAGCATTTGTATTAACCTGGATGGAGGTGGAACACCTAATTCTTAGTGAAGCATCACAGCAATGGAGAAGCAAGAATCCAATGTATTCAACTTTGATATGCAGACAATTGATGACACAGTGGGGAATGGGGGAAGGGGAGAGCAGACAGAAAAGGTGGGAAGGGGTGAGGGAAAGGAAAAGAAAAGAAAATACTGACCAATTCGCACATAAATTAGATTTAACTTTGACCAAAGTATATTACTTGAACATTAATTTTTAATTCAACTTGTTAGTATGTTGTTTAGGATATTGCATCCTCATTTATAAATGAAATATGTTTGTAATTTCCCTTTATAATAATATATTTTTTCCGATGAAGTAGAATGATTTTGAAGGATTTCTTCTTTTTCTTTTGTCTATAAAATTTGGCATGATCTGTTTTTTGAAATTATCTTTTTTTTTTTTTTGAGACAGAGCCTTAAGCTGTCATCCTGGGTAGAGTGCCGTGGCATCGCAGCTCACAGCAAATTCCTGGGCTCAAACAATTCTCCTGCCTCCACCTCCCAAGTAGCTGGGACTACTGCTACTTGGTGCCCACCACAACGTCTGGCTATTTTTTGGTTGCAGCCATCGTTGTTTGGCATGCCCGGGCTGGATTTGAACCCACCAGCTCAGGTGTATGTGGCTGGTGCCTTAGCCGCTTGAGCCACAGGTGCCAAGCCTTTTATTTTTATTTATAAATATTAGTTGTCTATTTTTCGAGACTTTGGAAAAAAAAATACGAAGAAGTTAACTGATGACTCCATACTGAACCTCAGAGTCAAGCATTCTATGATAGACATACTTTTATCTGACAATGTGAATGTTACTTTTTTTGCATTATTATTATTATTATTGCTCAATATTTTATTGCAACAATTGTCTGATTTCTGAATATATTTATCTTCATTCGTGCTTCACGAGGTTTTTGTTTGTAGTCCTTAAACATTATTATTGTTATTAAATTTTAAGCCTTTTTAATTTTGTGAAAGCAAAAAGTGGAAACCAAATAAACACATGTATATGTATAGAGAAAATAAAAAAAGAAAAATTAATGAGGGAGGGAAAACATTATCTTTGAAAACCCAGGTAATAGGGCAGCACCTATGGCTCAGTGGATAGGGGGCTGGCCCCGTATACTGAGGGTGGTGGGGTTCGAACCCGGCCCCTGCCAAACTGCAACAAAAAATAGCCAGGCATTGTGGCAAGTGCCTATAGTCTCAGCTACTTGAGAGGCTGAGGCAAAAGAATCACATGAGCCCAAGAGTTTGAGGTTGCTGTGAGCTGTGACAGTACAGCACTCTACCAAGGGTGACAAAGTAAGACTGTCTCAAAAAAAAAAAAGAAGAAGAAGAAAATTTGTACAGTTGTACTAATAGGTATGAAAAACAATATGGATATTCCTCAAAGAAAAAGCTATGGAAAGTCCCCAGAGAACTCAAAGTAGACCTTCATTCAATCCAGCAATCCATCTACTACATATCTATGTAAAGGACAAAATGTCATTTTATCAAAAGACACTTGCACCCACACTTGCATGCCAATGGTATTTACCCTTCCAGACCTTTTCGTACATAGATTTGCTTTTATATTACCTCATTAAAACCTTTTAAGCTAATCTAATAGTTTTAACTCCGATTTTAATATGCAAATACCATATAAAATACGTTTTGATTCGTAACTACCATAGTTCTTTAGGTTTTTGCTTTACTGTGTTTTTTTTTTTTTCACCCATTCCGCCTACAGAAAATATGCAGGAATTTTCTAGGTCATAATTATTTTTTCACAGCATTTCTCCTTGAGACAGTAAGCAGCACTGGTGTACAGAAAGAGAAAACAAAGCAATCTTCAGCTATATCCCACATTTTTCCCGTGTTTAGTAAGCCTTGCCTCACATGGCATGTGCCTCCATAAGCCTCTCGTAGGGTTTAATTTAACTCCACAAATAATTGTGAAATTGAATTGAATGTCAATTGTCATTCTGTAATTCTTAAAGCACGGAGATACTGGAAGGTACAAGGCTAACACACCCTTTAATGTTTTCCTTTAAAGGTTGCAAAACCTCGACCAACCCACTGCCGAAGTCAGGCGATACACGTATTGATCAGTGGGTTTTGTTACTTAGTGTTCACTAACTAGATCCTTCTAATTCCTCTCCAATCCCTGCTTTTTTCATCCCAGATTTCCAAGCTAAATTCATTGCCTTAAGCCATCTGGTGGCTTTCGCTTGTAACTACATCAGCTAGCAGCGAGTCACAAAATTCTCCTACGTGCTCAAAGCATGCGGAGTCTGTTGTCTTCTCATATGTGTCTTAGAAGACAAGTTATGATGAAATGATGCCCAAGGAGTGTGTAGGTACTGAAAATTAAGGAGAAATATTTGTGGTTCTAACCTCAGGGCCACTCTGATACAAGAGCAACGTAGGGAAGGCTGTGGATGTTGGGATAAGAGAGAAACCATATTAACTTATTATAGTTATGTAAGACAAGCTTTACGGAGCATCCTCTCTAGGCAAGCAGTGTCCTGAGGCTTTGGGGATAACAAAAGCTAGTATGGGAGGGCCCATGTTCTCAATTAATGCAGGCAAAATGATAACAGAACAGGGTAAGTGTTACAATAGATGTGTCAAGGTAGAGATCAGGAAACCCCTGACCGGGGGTCTTTAACCCCAGCATGACGACCAGGAAATGACCACTGTTCCCTCTCGAAATATGCAACACACCCAAAAATAAAACTGAATTCATTTTTTGGAATCAGCTCGCATATTGGTAGAGCTGTAAGTGTAGCGTGCAAGTTGGTATCCTATCTTCTGCAAAAGCCGAGAATATTCACATCTTTGGGTGATGCACAAACATCAAGGTCATGTTACCCCAGATAAGCTCCCAGGTGCCCCTCTAACTTAGCCAAACACCACCCCCACCCCAGCTCTTGTGGAGGAAGGACAGCAGAAAGGACACACAGCCTGCCTGCCAGGCTGCACACATACCCACTGTGGCTCTGTCAACACCTGAACAGCACAGTGTCACTGGACAAAGAGGAAGAGCTCACTGCACCTTGGAAGGGCAGAGAAGGCTCCTGAGAAGCCGTGATAGGGATCCACTAGATACGTACAGCAGCAAGGCCATCCCATTGAATGCAGACTTGCGCAAGTGGAAAGCACAAAAAAAATCAAAGCCGATCTGGAGGGCTGCTGGTGATTCAGTGTGTCCAGAAGGGAGGGACGCTGTGAGTGCAAAGTGGGGGA